ATTTAAAGAAATCCAGGGACTAACCAAGAATTACATCTAATGCTAATAAACAGTAAGGATATATTTAACAGCATTTCTAGTTTCTGAATAATTTAAGAGGTAAATATAAACTCTAAAGCTGCCTATTCAATTCAGAGAAATTTAGAATGTACACACTATGTGCCGTAAGTCATATCGCTGGGAATATGGCAAACTGGTGTTTTTTAATTCCCTGATGTCCCAATTTTCATTTTGCAGGACATTTTTTTTTGCTAGGTTTTGTATGCTGCTCGAGAGAGTGGTAAACCAGAAAATGTGCTAGTTAATGTGCCGACTATTTCATCTGAAGTTCAACAAGTGGACCGGGATCATTACAATTTTCACTCGATTAATTTAATCATCCAGTCTGTATTTAACCTGAATTATTTCAAAAGATAACAATCAAGCGTTGATTCCGAATGTTTAATTTCACTAGTCTATACTAGGTCTAAAACAGACATTGTAAGTTTTTAATGATTTCCAAATTGGCAACGATCTTGTTTTGTTCATTTTCATTCTAGAAGGAGCCACGTAGCCACAAAAAGGGCCTAGCTGTTTTTTGGAATATCAATAATCTCTTAGCCAAGTAAGCTCCGGTCTTTAATCGGATTGGCATTTTACATCACACTTTGTTTCCAATAACTTTTTAAGCATTTTTCTGATCGTCAACCTGAAGATCTCTTAGAAGCAGATGTCATTTTCTTAGCGTCGAAATTATTGCAGCTACAACAATAGCCAATATGGGGGTCTATATTAAAAGGTTTATCAAAATAAATTAAAATAAGCAGAACGCAATAAATTAAAGAAGCCAAGAAAAATTGTCTGATTGAGAACGATACATATTAAAGTGAACGCTACACTTGGTCGTTTTGGGGTTCACTCCGCTATCATCAACGTATAAGTCAAAGACCTAATTGACAAAATTCAAACATGTTGCCCTCTATGATAACCCATGTTCTTACCAGGTCGAGGGAAGCCCCACAACGGATGTAACAGCACTAAAAGACCAAGTAAAAGCAATAGTCTCGAGGCCATTTCTCTGCAACACTTCGACCCTTTTCTCCTCCTATTCACTCGCTAGCTTTCGATCTAAACAGATTCAACTCCACTTGAAAATGCACGTCGTGTAGATATCAGCTACTTTCTCATATCGATCTCATGACGATACTGATATGATTTAATTATCATTCCGACTTTAGACACACCCAGAATGGCGGGCTTTACATGAAAACATTATAACCGGATGTAATATTACCAGAGGTTTATCAAATAAATACCTGCACGCATCTTAGTAACTTTCATCATAATTTGATCATAATTTTCAATTATGGTCTTTTTTTTGTCATTTCACACAATTTCTATATTACTTTGTAAAAGGTCCTACCCCTTTTTGTTTGTGAATTTTGTCCTTTTTTGTGTAAAACGTAATGATAAATTATGATGGCATTGACAAAAAAGATGCGTGGTTTAAATCATCGATAGAGTTCAGATGCGGTAAATTATTTCCGTTCATAAACATATTGGTTCTGCTCAACATGTCCATGTCTTTGTCTGAAACTACCATTGAAATCCATGCCAGCCTCTTTCAGTTTGCTGAGGTTAACTATGATGTGAAAGAAATACTTTCAGCCGCTGATTTTCATTTTTAACGAAGACGTAATTCTTTATCGCGTTATGTTGAAACAAGGGTATAATAGTTTTTGGATGTTTACTCCATGCTCGAGCCGTAGGGCACTGGGAACTACCGACAAAGATGATGAATTCATAATTGTCGTTTTTCAATATCCTTCATCTTGAATTGTGCCATGATTAGCTGTGGTTGAGGTTCTATACCCTTCTGCATAGGCCTGTTTATCTTTGGGAAACATATAGAGTACCTGGAGTTATCCACGACATAACTGAACACGCTAAAATTCAGCGGATTCTTCCGATACTAGCACTGTCGACAACTGTGGGGCCAAACTATTAAGATTGTTATTGTATGTTCGCATTTCGGATGGGCCCTAGTATGATCCCGCTTAAAAGTGACCGAGAGTTATCGGGCTAAGAAAATCAGGAATGGTATAGATAATGATGGATGGATGGGTGAATATGTGATTCCGTGTAACATCAAACATAAAAAGTGGTTTATAATGGTTTTCTCGGCTTTTTTTCATATAAGCATCATGGCAAAGACAAGCCGTGAAATTCCAGTGGACACCGCACAAGCATTAAACAGCTGAAAGCTTTGCAAAAAAGATGGTGTCAGAAGCAACTTCTTTTTGTAGTCGCAGCACCTATCCCTTGCTTCTCCGCCCTATCTTTTCTCCCTTCTGCAATACGCGACTGAGGTGTAAATGAAAGTTACGCCCGTTGAGACTTGGAAAGAGGGCAATGGAAATCCGGTCTTTCACGGTGCAAAATTAAGTTCTATTCAACTGTTACTCATTGAGCTATAGATCCTGCTATGGTGAAAAGCTTCCCTTTTATGAATACAAGTTGACTTGAATGATTTGCCAATTGATTTGTAGTGTTCCTTTTTGTAAAGCCTTTGATCATTGTTGTTTTTTTAATGAGATCATTTCCAGTCTTCCACCTCGATTATTTTCTGTGCAAGATTATTTGTGATCGTAGATCATTTGTCGTCCTGGGAACATGAAAAGCTTTACATTACCCATCTTGAATCCGCAGTCTGTAATAGAAGTCGCTTCGAAGCAAGCATAAATAAAATATGCTATTTAAATGACCCTAAGCTTAAGCATCACAGCAAATTGTTCATTTTCGAATCATTGACTATTTGTATTACGAATGAAATCATCAGTTCTGTTTGCTCTTCCTCTTTTCCTCTATCTTTCCACCTATTTTTTTTTTATTAACATGCATTTCATTTTTCTTTTTTTGAGCAACTCTTTACGAAAGTTCGGACAATCTGTGAGGAACCGTGCGTTCTTGAAAGCTAAAAATTGTCAACAAAGATTACCATAACCAGGCATTTCCTTCGAATCTCTGTCCATTTTGTTTTTCTTATTTTGTTTTTCTTTTTTAGCTTTCTATTTTCGGAAGAAGGGCGTTCAGTGACCTTTAAAGAGATTTAAGGTTTCTGGGGAAAGTCGACAGAATGCTTGAACGAGGTAGAGAGGGAGGCTACATTTTCAGCCATGCGCCATTGCATTTAAGTCACCACGCAAGAAGAACACCCTTGAATTATCACCCAAACAACCGGGCTTTTTCTGTGAAAGTTATAATAAAACTTTTCCCACGAGGGGTATTGTTCCCTGGAATTAAGCAAGAACACTGGTAAAAAAATTACACTTTTAGATTTATTTTTGGAATCATTTACTGATGCTTTTTCAGGTTTTTCTTTTTCTAGTCTTTTTCTCGCCATCATTGTTTTCATTACAAGTCAGCTGAGTTCATTAACATTAAAACAACTGTGCTAGGCAGAGGAGCCATGCCATAACAGTGTAAATAGGTAAGTGTTCTCTTGTATTGCTCGGTGTTCCAAAGCTCTTACTGTTCAATAAATAATATAATGGCCTTTCAATCATAATACAGAAGAGTTCATATTCCATAAAGAGGAACATGCGGTCAAAATATGTGGCCAGAATTTGCTTTTATTGGTCGTAAGGAACTGAAGCAGTTCCCTGAGATATTTATAAGCCGAAAAAATTGAAGGAAACTTTGTCAATTTTCACTTACTCATATATTAACATAAGATTTCGCACAGCGAACGATATCTTGAATATGAAGAATATATTCAAAAATTAATGAGGGAAGGTGAAAAGCAAACATGTTAATGCAATGAGAATATGAGCAAGGCCTCCGCCGAGAGAGAATCCGTTTGAAGAAGCCAACTGGTCTGCGTTCAGACCATTACGTTCTTCTCCATAAGAGCTATTTCCCTGTCCAACCTCTTCGACCACTTGTTGTATACCGTCATAATTCAAGCCTTGTACATCATTATCATCATCTCCGTCGTCATCATCATCTTCATCATCGTCGTCATCATCGTCATCCTCATCATCGCCATCATCGTCGTCATCATCGTCATCTCCACCATCTTCACCACTTTCATCCTCATCCTCTTCACCACTGTCATCTCCAGAATCCTCGCCATCGTCATCCTCAATTTCTTCACCGCTATCATCTCCAGACTCCTCGCCACTCTCATCTCCAGAATCCTCGCCATCGTCATCCTCAATTTCTTCACCGCTATCATCTCCAGACTCCTCGCCACTCTCATCTCCAGAATCCTCGCCATCGTCATCCTCACTTTCTTCACCGCTATCATCTCCAGACTCCTCGCCACTATCATCTCCGGACTCCTCGCCACTCTCATCTCCAGACTCTTCGCCTGCATATTGAGAATAAATAGCACGTGGTCAATACCTTAAAAACGCCGATCAGAAAGTATTGTGGGGTTTGCCTCAACTTTTTTTGGTTCAAGCCTAATGTCCAGTGAAACCAATTACATTAAATATGTATAAGGCCCAACAAAGAAAAAAAAGAGAAGGAAAAAAGATGGAAAAGAACGACTGCAAGTTGAGATATTTGTATAATACTAATCTAGGAATTTCTTCAGTGAAAGATTAAAGTTTTCAAAACATTTACTCGTATGAATTCGAGTACAATTTTTGCTCTCTTACCGCTATCGTCATCGCCACTATCTTCAGAGGCGCTTCCATCATCTGAAAAATAAGGATTTCACATGGTTAATGACTAAGAACGCAAAATGTATTAAACTTACAAAGCTGTGGAAATTTAAACTTTTCACAGAGTATTCATTAGAGAGAAGAACATGGAGTGCACCATAAAAAAAGAAAATTGTTCTGGATCGGAAACCTGACTAAACAGATTAACGATGAATTAACCGCTTAACGCGCACGCGATCATTTTAATGAATACGTGGTACGTTCAGCCGGACAGATTTTAAGGGGCTGGGTAATTAAATTATTGTTTCCTCTATGCGTTATGATTCTCTCTTTCTGAACTAGAAGACATAATATTTCAGTTATAAAGGAAACAACTCAGGTTATCAACTAAAAGCAGTGGATTCTAAACAAAAGGATAGAGACTATTCGTTAAAAGAGATAAACTGTCACATCTTACCTGCAGCAACTGATAAAGGGAAACCCCCAAGCGGTCTCATGAGAGCTAGAACAAATAAAAGAAACAACAATTTCGAGTCCATTTTTCTTCTGCAGTACAAGTTTCTGCGTCGTTTTTATCTCAACTCTTCCCTCGTCTCTGTCGATAATGATTTCTTTGCTTCCCTGTTGTAGTATTTATAGGGGTCTCGAGACCATGTGAAATATACATGCAGCCGTACCGCTTTGACACTTGAAATATTGCTATGTTTATCAAGGTGTCGAGAGAATGTCATGGAAAATTTCTAAAACCATTCAACAAGTGTCGATATTGTCTTAGGAAGCCTTAGANGAGAATTTTGAAAAACCAGTTATGTAATGCAAATAACAGTCGAACCTGTGTGAAAGACCGCATCAGCTAACACAAACAAAACCCAGTGACTTTTGAGCAAGCTCGCCATTCTGTTCCCCCAAACCGCCAATCCATCATATATCATATATCAGATATTGTTTTTATTGGATTTTTTTGTGGGATACCGTGAGAAGTTTGGAGTGTATCGTGACTGTTAGACATCATCTCAGTAAATAATGCGGGAAAGGCATTCTTTTTGTAATCCAATCCATATTTCTGATAGATTTAGAAACGCCGGCTTATCAAGGGGAGCGTGAAAATCCAAACTATTAATCCAACAAGATGAATTGTCATTGCTTTACTAACTAAAAACTGGGGTATTTTATTGTCATACAAAGCAGTGTCGGATGCATTCTCCGAAGCACAACTGGATTAGATGCAATGCTTAGACGAACTGAAAACTAATATCTCCTTCATTTTTTCATCGCGACAGGTAAATGAGACTGACGCGAGTGCAGGTTTTGTGCAATTATATATAGAAGCACCAGATACGCTATCTTTTCTGGTTTCTTTTACTTGATCCTGTTTTCATTTTCTTGGCAGTAGTGAGTTTAGTGGCTTTCACCGGTTAATTATTCTTTTTTCTTACTTATCGCTCAATATTGTCTTATTTTGCAAGCACACAGTCTATTTCCTTTGCGTATTTCTTCTAGTTATCTTGAGAACCAAATGAGTGCCTCTTAGGATTTAGTCACTCCAGCCAATATTTACATGCGCTGAGCTACTGACCTCAAGATATGATTATTTTGGTTTAAGCCTAGAAAGTCCTACAATCATGGCGAAGTTTCATCGGTTTTTAACATCGGCTCGAGAATTATGGTTGGAGACGATAGGAACCGAATAATGAATTGCAACAATCAATAGATCCCGCAATAAAATGAAAGCTATTAATCAAAATAATTCAAATTTTTGGCTAAATGGACACTCACACCTTTGATTGACACTAATCTAATGGTGGATTTTTATGCCAATAAAAAGAACAGCTATCATTGCCAAGGTTTATCCCGAGAGAATTCTGCTTTAAAGGAACTATCGCTTTTGATTCGCTGACTGAGTGTTTTTCAGTAGTGAAGTCCATCCGCTTTCGGCTTCCTTTATCCTAACTATGTTATCTTTAAGGAACACGGCAATTGGTACCAGGAACGATAAAAGATTTTTATCAAACAAAATTTGAAACTCACTTGTATTTTTGTCTATCCTTATTGCTATGATATCCAAGCAAAATTATAAGGACGCAACAAAAAACTCACCCTGGCAATAAAATTGCCGCAGTCAACAGAACAATAGTCATGAAAAGCCTTTTTCTGCCAAGTCATCAGTTATGTTACAATGAACTTCTCAGTTTTGGTTCAACCTATTTGATGATAAATAAATTTTATTTCGATAGCGTTTGGTTTGAAAAGTCTCATTTTCAAAGTCTTACAAGCCACACTGGGATAACATGAAGAAATGCTACACGAAGAGCGTCCATTTTCGTGGTGAACATCGAGGATTTATTTTGAGTTTGACTGAGAGTGACAACCCCGATGTCCTCCAATGTCAGTTTAAAGTACATGTAATTTTATTTAGACATAAATAAAATTGATGGATCCATTTTTATTCTTATTGTAACTCGATTAAAGCTTCTTTATATGCGTTTTCAGTTCGATGCGAATTAAAAGAAACTGCTAAGTCTATGGTTGGGTTCGTTCAGGGCGTGTTTTAAGAAGCATCCAGGCTCGTTTTCCTGTAAGATGAACTCACGCCTCGAAGCTTATTTCAAATATGCCATGAAATTAAAAAAAGAAAGAAAGAAATTGGTACAGGAGTAAAATCGGTCACAAGCTTTGGATCATCATACGTTTAAAAGATTGGATCTTGCCATTATTTTTTTATGTGTGTATGCCTTCAAATAAATCTTGCCTAAAGTAAAGTTTCACGCGTATTAAATNCAAAGAGAAAACCCTTCGGAGCTTCTCACTTCTCTATATAACCACAAAAATGTTCATAAAAGAACATTTTAACGGAATCCTAGCTTTACATCCCTCGAGAGGATATAGGCGGTTTAAAGTACTGAATGGGCGGTATTTAACAATACTGATCGTCGGAGGAAAGGATTAAAAAATAAATTAATGACGTGTTGGCTAAATCAAATTATAATTACTTAAGATGAATAATCTGGCATTTTCATGTACCCAAGTGAAGATGATTTTTTTGTGTTTTTGATGCAGGACTTTCATTTGTCATTCACTGAAAGCAGTGTTTGTTTTTAGCCAGTTAGCCATCGCCACCGATGATGAGTACTTGAATACCGCCTATCCAGTATTTGGTGCCGCCAATTTATTTCTAGAATAAAGTCAATTTAGGATTCGCTATTCTATGATCAACTTCGTGGTTATCGCCCGCAGCAAAAACATCAAAGATTCCATAATCAGGAGTTTTTAACTTTCGAACAACAACCAAGTTTAGAAGGTAAACAATATCAAGTAATCGTGACGTGTTTGTTTCTTTATCTGTTTATCAGTATACTTCCGTCGTAATTTTATTCACGCGTCCCCTATTAGTATTATTAAAAATCTTTAGTCCATGAGACAGTTGCAAATCTTTGCGTAATCATCACGAATAAAGTCAGGATGTATTCCGCAATTTTTTTCAGGCTCTTTGTTGTATGACTGGCTCCTGTCTTTTAAATAAATAAATTTTCATTTTTTCATCAAATTAAAAGCATTTCAAACTTGACGCACAGGTGTCTGAAAGCAACATCACAGGATAACAAAGGGGTGAACTTAGCCTTTTGAAAATAAATGAACGATAAAATTGGAAAAAGAAAATGATATACAAGTAAATTTATTAGTAGTCAATATGAAGGGTAGCCAATAGAAGTTCTAATATTCTACAGAGTAGTTCAATCTTCAACAAAAGGTTTAAGGCTTGGTTTAAATTAATTAATCTTTATTGCACTTAGCTTTATGGAGGAGTAGCCAGTTTTACAAATCTAAATGGACACAATCTAGGCTCATAGGAATATTAGTTATAATATGTTTATTAAAGAGAGTAGAAAATAATTTGTAGAATGGAAAAGGAGGGGGAAATGAAAGCAGACTTTTCGCTTGACTGATTTTCTTATATATGTACATCAATAAACGAATCTTCTAGAACAACCCTTAACAATAAATTCTGCATTTTGACTTTGAAAGATTCCTTTTTGCTCTTTGTTCCATTCTTTCGACCAAACGTATAACATGTTTCTTTATCCATCAGACGAACTCAAAATGTACTATATTTGCATTCCTTATTCTTGACATTTTCTGGTAATAAGACCATATTCTGAACAGAAGAAAATTCATTAGCAATACAGTCACAGTGCACTCTGGCCAATATGATCCTCAAACTCTTCGCCATTTTCTCGTCGTGCTTATTGACGTTTTCTCACCACTTGCAAGTTATCTTCTTTATTTTTCATCGCCATCATACTTCTACTGTCCTTCGAAATAACAATTAATTAAGTTAGGTACGATCTCTTTATTTAGCTGTTTTGTAGACATGTTCAGTTGTTTCACGATTCATCTGCACTGTCATAGTGAGAAAAAATAGTCAGCATTGCAATCGTTTATTCTGAAAAAGGAGATTATAGTCATGGTAAAGGATCCATCTGAGATTAAGTCATTGATGCCAATATTTCTTGTTCGATTCAAGGTGAGCTATCGATAAAACGTGCTCCCATTACATTTTACCATAGAGCCTCCAAAATGTGCTTTTTTACTTCCTCCATCCTTCGCTCCAATTATGGAGCAGTAAAAAAATACATTTGCCTTATTCGTCTATTTACCATTTTAAAATATTAACTTTGATCCAGTGTGGCTCGCGCTTGTAATATTGTGGGCACAGAATCCTCTTTTAGGAACATTTGTGTGGCCTAAGGATGTTAAACTTTGTAAACCTCAGTTTCCATGGAAAGAAATCATTGTAATACAAATAAAGACCAAACCGACACAAATTCTTTTTTTTTTTCACTTTTAACTTAGTTATCTCAACAATATTTATGCTGACGAGTGACAATCTTTAGGATGCAGTATGAGGTCTTTGAGTGAAGAAACTTTAGCTTGGATATAAATAATTCGGATATCGCATTGGATTTCAAGATTTAGTTTACCTCTAATATCCCAAACTTGTTTGATATAATCGCATCACACAGTCGATAGCCTTCGATATATGAGACTGAGCATAACTACTATCTCTGAGGGTTTCCATTTGATTGATTGATTATTAAAGAAAGTTTGACTAATGGATTCATTAAAAGTAAATTGCAGAAACACCCCTCATTAGTGCAAGAAATCTTTATCACCAATTATTGAAAGTAGAGCGTATCCTGAATGCAAGAGGCTTCTGAAAGTTTACTTTAACGCAACCCATGTTTCTAGAATAAACGTATCAACGCATTGCTACGAAGGAAACATGAAGTAATTCTTACAGTTTTCGAAGCCGGCGAATATCAAAATTAGTACAATGACTTTAGGGTCTTATTCGCTGGCTAATATGATGCATGAGAAACATTCAGGACAAAAATAAAACACGGTGCTTAAAGGCATTTAAATCAAGCTTTTAAAGCAAGCAGACATGCACTGAGATATTGAAGAAGTGCCTTATTCCCAAAAGTATGTTGAAGCTCCTCGCTTGTGTTTCATTCAGACTTTGATTTGATGATTTATCACACTTTGTCACGTTCAAGATAACAAGAGAACAGGCAGGAGATATTAAATCAAATATATACCACCGATCCAACCAATATGATTAGCGGCTACTACGACCATCTCACAAATTGATTGTTTTGTGCATCTCGATCAAATTAATTAAGGCCACCTTTGATATCCTTAAAATAAGTACCTTCTGTCTATCTAAGCCAGCTTATTGAGGTGATTGAGTTTTAAAGACAGTTAAAATTGAAATGCAGGGTTTAAATCGTGTTATAGTTTCCGTGAAATTCTAGCCCTGTATGATTTACTTTTCGGGGCGTACTAATTGTGGCAGAAAAAACATTCGTCGTCAGACGTATGGGAGATATTAACTTAAGTAGACTACCGATCTAACTAATATGGCTTCCCGGTGCTTGAACCATCGGGCAAGTATTTCGTATTTTTAGCACATGTGCAGATGAAACAAGGTTGCTGTATATTCACTTTTCTCTGTCAATTTAAACTATGAAGCTACTAAGAGCATATCCCCACTGAGCAACAAGACGAATTTATGCCACCAAATTCAGAACCATATCCCATGATATAATTTGGTCGGCTCCACAAGGAGTTACGGGGGTGATTTGATTTTACCAGGAAATAAACATACTTCAACAAATGGAAGGGGAATATTGATCCAATACGGGCACCGATTTAACTTACCTTTTCCTATTTTTATAACCATCAGGCAAACATCATGCATTGTACATGTAAGTATATACTTGGCAGAAGGCAATTAACTTAGAAAATATTTCTTATTCAGTTCTACCGCTTTCTCTGCACCGTCATGCCGCGGCGACAAAGCAGTACTCAGCACCAGATAAAAACTCAGCCGTAGCCCTATGGTTCATTTATTATTTCAAGTCTTTCTAATGTGTTCGCTGACAGTCATAAATGTAAGTTTAAGAGAAAAGATGGCATTTGTACGTCGTTTTAATACCTTATTGTACGAAAAATCTTGACTCACAAGTCAGGCACGAATTTGAATGGCAAAAGAAAAAGACCTTAGTGGCGTCGCCAAACCTCCTAGGCAATGACTTATTCAATTCTGGTTTTTAAAAAACCAATCTTTTGAGTGCGAAAGTATCTGTACCTGTCCAATGTAAAGAACAAAAGCTGTGATCAGTAAAGGTCAATCCTGAGGTATTACTCGAATAGAGCAAGTTATTTTTATGCATTCAGTACCCTTGAATGACTGAGATGAAACGGAAAATTGAGATATCCTTTTAAATGACAATGGGCTATTATGTGACCATTTTCCCACTGATTATGGTTTCCTGTATTTCGGTATGTGTCCATGTATACGCAGTAAATCAAAACGATCTGTTAATAGCGAAATATCTTTCACTTGAGATGTTATAAGCCTCAGTTGCAGGGTAAGGCTGCATATCGTTGAGCAACCCAGTTGGAGGGGTCTCAAGGTTCTGGATGTTGTGAGGTTTGAAGAGGGTTGTGATTCATATCAAAGTTTCAATAAGGCTAAGGATGATTAGGACTCTGCTTTCGCTCTGATTTATTAAAGTTATCCACTAGTTTAAACTACATATGTGTACCTCACATACAAAAAAATGTATGGAAGAATGGTTATTGATTCTGTACAACAAGTTTTATATGATTGTATAAAAACTGGGTGCCGAGTACGATGGTTAGAATTTCCAGGATCAATTAAAGTACTTTTTTTACATCTTCCATACAGAATCTGGTGATGACATCCATACATACTAAACCTGGTGTGGGGAAGGGCTGAAATTTTTTACTCTAAAACAGAACCAGTATCTACTGGCTCCGGTCTAATAAAGAAAGCGAATTAAAATGCCACTTATAACTGTGGTAACGCTAAAATAAGTGATAGAAAGTCCTTTGCAAGATGAATCTCCATCAGATTTAAACAAGTTCATAACGTCGGCATTGTTCAGCCAATCCCTTCCTTTCTTCCCTTTTTCGCTGCCCTCTTCGTCAAAGATGCTTTCGTTAACTCCACCAACATCTTCCTTATCTTCATTCTCAACACCACTTCCATCTTCCTCATCTTTATTGGTAACACCACTTCCATCTTCCTCATCTTCAGTGGTAACACGACTCCCATCTTCCTCATCTATATTGGTAACACCACTCCCATCGTCCTCATTTTCATTGCCATTGTCAACTTTATCATTCTCTTCCACATCATCATGATGATCGTCATCATCATCAGCGTCGTCGCCTTTGTTGTCATCTTTGTAGTCATCCTCATCATCAGCATCATCAACATCATCATCGTCCATTTTTTCGTCCCTGTCGTGGTCGTAGTCTCCACTGTACTCGCTGTCGCTGTCGATGTAATCATCATCTCCATCACTGTCTTCGTGACCTTTTCTATCCTCTTTATACCCTCCCTTACCATCATTATCGTCCTGAGTGTCGTCATCTTTTTCTTTTGCAGCATTCTCGCCATCCTTGTCATCCCCACTCTCGTGACCGCCATCATCTCGGTCTTTGTCACTACTTTTGTCACCTGACTTATCTTTGAATCCACCTCCACTATCGTGGCCATCCGTACCTTCTTTTCCATAATCCTTTTTTTCTTTTTCCTCTTTACCATCGACATCTTCGTCGGTAGCATCTCTAACAAAATCTTCATCTTTATCATCCTTGGGCAATCCTTGGTCATCATCTTCTTCCTTATCTTTCTGTTCTCCATAAAAGGTGTGATTTTCTGTAAGGAAACAAGCAGAACAGGGTATTGACATGATCACAGCAAAGTTATTATTTCTATTAGATAGTTACTTGATGGTTTAAAGAGGTTCGAGTAGCTATAGTCATCGGTCCCGATTACTGAACGTCAAAATGAATGCTAGAAGACTCCTATTGCGGAAATTTTTCTTAGTTATCGAAATCCCTAATGGAGTTAATTCGATTAGCCTTGTAATTTTATATGGGCCCCCCAAGAGTATTACAGCTGTTTTCAGTTTAGCTTCTTATGATTTTCCAGTCTTTCTCATAATCCATTGATTAAGTCTTGGTATTTTGATTTCTCTTTCTTAATTAGAACAGAAGTCATACAGACCATAATGACATTTATCGTGTTTTCCATGAAAATAACTAAGTCAAGCCGTGTAAGAACAGCGAAGCTATATCTATTTGTTGGCTTAAATCATCAATATACATGTGTCTCCAGGTCAATTAATTGCAAAATTTTAAAATTTACTTCACTTTTTTGTATCAAAAACCAAAAATAAAAATCTTCTAGTTCTAATTAAATTAAGGCTTGTTAGAAAGCTGTGTGTGCACCATAAAAAATATTAACAAGACTGCACGGTTAGTTCAAAAATATATCTCACCATCTCGCTTTTCCAAAGGTAAACCCCAGAGTTGCAGGCCTAATAGCACAATATAAGAAAAAAGAAGAACTTTGGAGGTCATTTTTCGATCCTTCTTCTACGCGTTTTTCCAATTATTAAGCGATTTTAGTTGATCAATCTGCGTCAAATGTTTAGTTTACTAACGTTGGGGTTTCAAGTAGTTAAATAGCATTGATATGCTTGATATTGTAATTTTTTAAGGATACAAGTCAATATTCATCCATTAAAGTCACGACCCTAACTAAGTAGCACTTAATGTCAGGACTAGAGAAAAAAAGGATTCTATACTGAATTAACACAGCCGTAAGTCAGGTTTATGTACATTTTCATGACCCTCTTATAAGCTTAAGTCACCATAACATCATTTCAAGACTATGGCTTAAATCCAATGTTGATTTATCTCTATGGAAACCAGTAACAAGCCCACAGAAACATTCTTGAAGATAATACATTTGTTTTTGTTGTGATATAATTCCCCTGTAACCATGGTTTGACCACTCTTATTTTGCTGCAAGCTCTATGGAAATTAAATAAAAAAAAAAACTATTTTCAATTGAATCAATGTCAAATTTAATCCTTTGGGGAGAAGGAGATAATCTATTACCTGTTTCGCCTAATTTTACAAGGTGTGATTAGCGCGAATGTTTTCATTTTAATTTTCTTGTTGAGTTTTGCGTCAGAGATTACTTAATGTGAATAAATCTTGGAAACTGTACCTTGAAACTCATTGGACTCGAAATATTTCTCATTGAGTCAAAAACATTATACAGATTGAGGAAGGTCAGGTGTAAACCTCCCTGTCGGTTAAGTCGGCAGAGAGCAGCTGTTCATTTAAGTAGTATTGGCGGCCGGCATAGACTACACAGGCAGCACTGATATCTCACTGAACACAATCGTTATTCCTCAGTCGACCACGAGGGTCTTGGTTGCAAACAGAACACAACAACTAGCTCTGGGTAGCCCAGATGTAGTTTCCTTTGGAGAGGGCCTAAGTACAAGTGATGGGACAACGGTATGAGCAAACTATAAAGGAGTAATAGTTTATTTGCATGCTCCTGTCTCCTGTCCTACTCAATCATTGTAATTCTAGAAGAAGCGAGGTTCCAGTCTCCGAAATTAGTTCCAAGTTTTGAGGACTGTTTTATGATTTTAAAAGATTTGAATGCTGAGGAAAATGTGTACCACAGACTAACTTGACCATTTCTTTCGACTTTCGAAGTCCTCTGTGAATATGAAAAGAGCCCGTTAATGAAAATGGTGATCGATACGGGTTTCCAAGAACGACGTCAGACCGAATAGAAGTACCTTTGTGACTTCGTTGCTGCTCATAAAGGCTCTCTTAACTTATCACTTGATGCTATTTACAAACTACAGAGGTAAAGTCAAGTGGTAGCGTGGCCGAGTGGTCTAAGGCGCTGGTTTTAGGCACCAGTCTTTTCGGAGGCGTGGGTTCGAATCCCACCGCTGCCAACGTTTACTTAAGCGCTACGAACGACATTAATTTTGAAAAGACAACTCAATTCCAACCTTGCCTAGATATGAAAAAAAAAACATTACTTTCTCGTACCAAACAGGCAAACAATAGATCACTGAACATTAAAAGCATTGAAAAATTTAAGCGAAATGTTCATTAACAAGCTCGTCTGTTAACATATTATTTGGCAATGATTCTTTTAGGTGTTGAGGTTTCATTTTCATCACGAAAGATTGTCATCAAAATGAACACAAACTTCACCCTCTCTATCTTTAATAATCACGCCTTAGCCAACTTAATCAAGGATCTACGTCATTACTCGCGATACAACTTTAAGTCTTCTTTTGTGAAACACCTAACTAAATCAAGGGCTTGTTTCTTTCTCGAATTTGGGTTATAGATGGACAACTGAATGAAACACCGACTTATGCCGATCAAGAACTTCCGTCATTATTTCATCATCTATCCATGACATTCGGGTCTTACGCCTCAGGCATCTAAGTATGTCTGGAATCCCAAACCAATAATTCAAGCTATCTAAGAGTAAAAATAAACATTTAATTCCTTTCAAAATCGTTGCTTTTATGTCCTTCATGATCAAGAAAAACATCAGCAACAACAACAACAGACGATATCAGTCCCCAATTCAAATTCAATTTTCATTGAGAAACACTACTTCAGGTGTTCATTGTGTTTGTGGGTAATATTGCTAATAGCAGCCAAGAAGTTTTAAACACCTAATGAAATATTTTGGTTCACTTACAACTCTAAAAAAGTATTTCACCTTGGAAATTTACGGCGTGGGTGGCATTATTTCTCATTCGTTGCTCGAATACGTTATGTATTTGGCTTGAAAGGCCGGCTTCCTACAATTCTTACATTGAAGAAAACTTACTTTAAACTGGTTCTTCTGTGTTCGTGACGCCAGATTCGTAAATTCGGTTATGGACGGAAGAGAGCAGAAAATAGTAACTGATAACTGATATTAGGTCTTCCTCTCCAAGAAAAGGAATGGGTCGAACATTGAGAAGAATTGCCAAGAGCAGGTCTGCACTTATAGCTACAGGGAAAAGGATGCAATGGAAAAATTGATCATCTCACGCGACTTGATATCATTTCACAAGCGCTGCTAAATCGATAGAGTCCTCATCGATGTTGTAATATTGAACGGAAATTACCCAAATGTATCTGCACTGCTGGAGTATTGACAGGAAAATTTCCTCCTTTCTTGATCCCTGATGTTTTTTCCAAATAATTTCAGACTTAATAGAGACTGTGCTACCCAGAAATTCCATAGTATATTCATTTTTGTTCTTATCTTTATAATGATATTGTATTAGTCCCATATCAATCGCTGAAAGGCTTATCGCTTTTTCTAGAAATTCATATTAGGGATGGTGAAGATTATTTTCGTTTTTGTTTTTATTGTGTTGCTTTTTGAACAAGATATTACCACGAATTTCACAATTACTTTGTCGAGTGTTAATTAGAGTTTTGTCAAGTAGTCAACTTTTTTCCGACCCAAATTCAGTCTGAAAAAAGTGGCAAAAAAAGGAAGCTGGAACACTAATTTTAATTTGAATCTTTATACTTTTACTAAATTCATTGAATGGACAATTCTTAAGACTTTTATTTTCTAATGCAACAAAATGTGTCCGAAAGCGGTTTGACCTCAAGTCTCTGGGATCGAAGACGTTCTGACACAGAAAGGCATTCCTTTTCAATTTTACTGCAGGCCGTTTCAAAGTTTTATCAACTTTTCATAAAATTTCTTCAAACTGAACTGTTTCAGCAATTTATTTTGAGCTTATACCATCCTTCTTTCTTGCCATTTTGTCAGTCAATTCGTTTTAACAGCCCGATGATGAAGGTTACCATGGCATTGAATATGATCATGGTTTTGACGAGAATACGGAATGAGAAGGGTAAAAATATAATCCCAATACTTTTTGTACGCACTACGGTACGCTTCAGACCACAAAAAGGGAAACTTGCTTTACATGTTCACACACAGTGGAATCTTTTCAATTTTTGTTGCCGCCAGCTTGCTTTAATACTGAAAGTAAACTCTAATTTTGATGCAATTTCATCAGTTTTAAAAAATATAAGCAATCTTATTTGAAAGGACACTTTTATATTGTCCAAGTAGTAGCCTTATAAGGAACCTTAAATTAGCATTCTAATGTTTCACATGAAAATTTTCTCATTTACACAATAGAAATCGCTGTTTAAACAACAGCCGCCTATTAACTATAGCAATCTTCTCCTTTGAACTTGAATTTTCTTTGAACTAAAGTGTTTGTAAAGCCATTAAGTTCCATTTGAAAGCGAATCCGTCATTAAATCACAGATCCACTCAAATGTTTGGACGAGAATACATTCGTTTTCTCATCAGCCCGGTTCGACAAAATGTTGTTTGCCGGGTAAAAAAGAAAAGTTATCCAAAAATCATGTTTCAAAATGTTTTACATGCTCGTGCACATATGTATTGTGTTTCAAAGCGCTAAGATGTTTTATAGCCGTGCTATCAAATGAACCAAATGTTAATATTCTGCTTCTGTTGCAAACTAATCCGCGCTCTTCCTATAAAGCGAATAGCGTGCTCACTCCTTCACATATTGTTATTAATGTAACCTTGAAAACATAACACCGGTTGCCATGGCATCTAATATGATAATGGCTGTACAAGAGCAAGAAATAAAAAGTTTGAAATGATCTAAAGACTTCAAACCATAAACAGAAAACCTACGTCTCACGCACGAACAATCAGCGGATTTCTCTTCATTTTCGCTGTAGTTAGCTGGCGTAAACCCTAGATTTCTGCTCTAAGTTTGAAGATATTCATTTTTAAAGCGTAAGTAACATCGTTTTTTAATTGAAAATTGTATAATTACCCAAGTACTCTAATCAGGATAAAAGACATTATATTGGCATTCTGGTATTACACAAGAAAAGTATATAATAATTTGCCATGTAGAGATCACTTCCCAAACAGTAACAGACTGAGAACGTTAGTGCACGTAACTATTTTGGACGAAACACATCTCTGCCGGAAACGGTTTTGCTGATGCTCTGTCTAGCCGCTCTTGCGATTGCACTCTGGAACTTTCCTTTATCAAAACCAAATGGTACGACTTGCAACTTGAACTTGAACTTGAACTTAGCGAGGCCGGGCGTGGTCGAGTGGTTAGGGTGCTGGACTTGTAACAAAAATATTTCAATATTTCACTGCACTGTGGCCCTTCTGTGGCCCTTCTCCCTTCTGCACTGTGGCCCTTCCCACTGTGGCACTGTTTCCATCATCCTTGCTGTGGCCCTTCAATATTTCACAAGTTTTAACTGTGTTTATTGACCTAAAGTCATTTTGAAGAGTTCTCCTTTAATTCATTTTTGCCTTACTTTCAGCAAAGAGAAATCCTTTGTTAATGAATTATACATACTGCATTGATTCTCAGAGGTATTTGGAACTACTCAACATGGAAAAATATGACACTGCTAGATACTCCAAGGTTGAAGATCTCGGGACTGAGTATGATGGACGAAGTGAGCAAGTCACAAAAAGCTCTGCAGCAAAGAAACTTGGAAAATGGGCTAGTGATCGACGTTAAAGTAAATATATTACCCAAAGAGGCTGTTACCAAGG